ACTTTTGGTTACTTTTCATACCTGAACTTTTAAATTTCAATCACCAGATTGAGATATCAGTAAAATCAATCTATTGGTCTTTAAGTGATAGAAACAGCCCACATTGTGTTTTTAAAGGGTCTCTAACAGTTTAAAGAATTAAGTCTATATTTGGACAGTTTTTCTTTTTTAAATCTATAAGTAAAAAATAATATAACCTAGATGTGATTTTTAATTTTTTATAATTTTTTGAAAGTGTTTTAAAAAAAAAAATCACTATTCCCAACTAATTAACATATAATAACAAGAATAGCTCTACGGATGAAAGCAGTTTAATGTGCGTTTAAAAGACTTCATCTTTTTATGTAAATCCTCTGTAGATCCAGCTTTATTTTACAGTTTTGAAGCCAGAGACGGTCTAATATTTGTTCTTCCTTTGAGGGATGCTGATGTGTAAAAATCAGGACAGGTTTGCTTTTCAGCGGAGACTTTATTCTATATTTTCCCCACCTTTCTGATGAGATTTTGTCTTAGATCAGATTTTTTTCTTTTATCAATGGCTAATAAGTCTTTTACTCATTATCACAACAATTACCTGGTCCAGGAAATAGCTTCTTTGTTGTTTTGCAGTTTTGAATAACATTAAATAAGTATGATTTTAGATCAAAGTCATCAACAGACGGATTCCAACATTGCATGCTCTAACCTGGAAATCTAGAGGTTTTTTTTGGAGAGCTTTAAAAAAAAGAGTTCGACCTTCAATTATAAAGATGAAATAATTATATTAGACCTGATTTATCTTCCATAAGACTGTTGCTCTGTTAGGTGTCGGACTCTTTGGAGGAGGAAGTGCAGAAGCTGAAGGGTCCCATCTGTAGTTTTAGGAGCAGTTTAGTGAAGAAGCCAGCGGTGTATCTGTTTAGTTTTCTTTCTTTATCTTTTTCATCTTGTTTTTATCCCTTGTAGTTCTGACCCTCCTTTAAATTAGCTGGTTATTGTTTAAACACGACCCTGATTAATTAAGTGATTGGAAGCAGTCTGTTTCCTGGTTTATTAAAGTGAAGGTGAATGGAACTGATGTTTTAGACGGCGCCGTTTGGACGCAGACGTCAAGATTTTAACCTGTCTGTCTGTGTGCTTCTCAGAGAAACTTGATGTGACCGCGCCGTGGCAGAACTCGCCCCGTCTACCTCCAATCCTCGGTGCCTCACCCCATGACTTCAGATGACAGATAAACCTTTGAGGGGAGACCCCATCCTCACCCTGGATCCCCCTCTTCCTGCGGACCCCTGACGGCGCACAGAGCTTTCCTCGCCTTCCTAGAGTCTCTGCAGCGTTTTCAACCCCTCCACGTGGAGGTGGACCTCTCCTACATCTGCTGTTCCAAAGATCTCCCCCCCCCATCCCCTTTTTTATTTTATTTTATTTTATTTTTCTCCTGGTTGGTTGGAGTCCGGTTCTGCCGGCCGTGTGAGTTTTCAAAGCTGGGGCGCGATTCATGGGATGCAACCATGTCGGGTCTCAATGAGCGCAGGCCGGTCAACACGGACTACGCTGTCTCCCTGCTGGAGCAGCTCAAGTTCTTTTATGAACAGAAGTTACTGACGGATGTGGTGCTGCTGGTGGAGGACACGGAGTTCCCGTGTCACAAGATGGTCCTGGCTGCGTGTAGCTCCTATTTCAGGTGAGTGGGATGCTTTTTTTCTTTTAAACACCTCATCCTGTTTGCAGAACTAGAACTAAAGCTCTTTTCTGCACCAATTATTCTCTTCCTGGTAGATAAAAAAGTTGCACTGGAACCTGATGAAGTAATTGCTACCAGATTTTTTTTCCTCTCATCCCTGGGGAGGCCTCATTCATGCACTCGGCGTTGCATAATGAAATGCGTGACAGAGCAGCAGCGTTTACTAAGGGAAAGGCCCGGCCGTACGTGATGGCTCAGATTCTGCTGCATCATCTCTTAGCTCTGCAGCTTCCTCCGCACTCGCTGTTTTGTCTGCCGTGAACACGCAAAGTACCCCCCCACCCCCCTCGGGGTGTTGAGGTGTCGCAGCGTTTCCGCTAAACTCCTTCCTGCTTCTGCTTCCTCTACATCCTCAAGCCTCGCTGCTCTGGGCTGCAGAGGCGGCTCCTCTGTGGAGGGAAAGTCTGGTCACGTAGCTCTTGTTAGGAGATGGAGAGGGGGGAAAGAGAAAAAGAAGGGGAGGGGAGTTATAGGGGTAATTCTGCAGGGTTGCGTAATACAGCCTGGCAGGTTTAGCCCCCGCTGTGGCCAACCGACCCAAAACTCTTCTGTTTTGTTTGAAAAGCGCACTTCTTGTTTTAATTTCGTTTTAATTCGGCCTCATCTAGATGTAACCAAAAGAGATGAAATCATTGGTTCAGAACCGAGAAGCTGGTTCATGTTCTTCCTCCCGCTAAAGAAAGGGAAGGTCCTCACCCTCAAAGGGAAATCATTGTCAGGTTTGGAAGCTTCAGCCGGTGAAATGCTTTTCCAGATGAGTCGATTCTCTTCATTAACTAAATAAATGATTCTCCAACATCTGCTTTGCATCATGCCAGAATAAATGAATGTTTCCAGCCACATCAAGGCCAGAAAATTGCAGTTATAGCCAAAGAATTATCTGTTCTTCATCCTTTGAATGAACTGGAGCAAACAGCTGAAATTTTTACACCGTTCTGGTTCGGGCTGGGGAAGTCTGGAAATAAGGAGTGTTTTACAAAAATAATCGTTAAAAATTGCAGATTTTATTACAGCTCCCATTGTGAACTAATTTTTATCAGTGGCAGCTGGTGGAGTTTTCTCCACCAGCTTAGTATACGTTTTCTCAAACGTATACTAAGATATCACACCAGTATATTTATATGAATGCCAACAAAAAAACACTTTATAAACATAAATTCATGAACAGGTTTATTTCTGTACATAAAAATTGCTCTTCTGAGGATTTGTGAAGGCAAATCTGTGTTTTGCATGGCCCAATATGGTGTCACAACCTAAAAAATAATGTACCAGAAGCTATTATTCAGCTTTATATTTTTTTAATATATAAGAAAGCTTAGATTCTCCACAATTCAACCACCTAGTTCGTTTTATGGACATAGCAAGCACCAAAGCACAATTATAGCAGGATGTTGACATGTAGCATGACGAAGCAGCCACAACAAGCAAGCATGTCTTTATTACTGCTCTTAAAAGAAGACTTATTATTTTAGAGAATAAAAAAAACTGTGAGACATGTTTGAACTGATGCAGCTTGGGTGTTTTACTCACCCAATTTTCATGTATATATTCAGAAACTAGAAGGTGTTAGCTTTCAAATAATATATTACACATGTAATTTGGGCTTACAGTTCCTCAGTTATTTGCTTTTCCATTTGAGTATGCAAAATAGGCCAGAATTTCCCAGAAATGAAATGGAGGTTAAATATTTATCTTGTACATTAATATCTTTCTAAATATTTTAAATTTTAATTTAAAATTATATGCTAAAAAAAAAATAATTATTATTTTTTTTTTATCAGGGTCATTAAGTGGGTGGGATGGCGCCCTAGCGCCCTCTATTGGCCAGCCACCAATGTTTTTATTTTTTATTTTTTTGCTTTAAATTCTGGTTTGTTTAATAAAAGGTCCATCCAGAGCCTCACAGTCTGCCCTCTCCACCCATGCCTAAATTGTTGGAGGATTTCTTTGGCTAAACGGACAACTTGTGAAATCATCAAAAGAGAAATCGCACCCGCTGCTAAACGTGGAGACGCTGAGAAACGTCCACCTGGAGAGAGACGCTGTTACAGTGAAATGCTAGACAGCTGTCTAGTGAGGGATGTTTACGGGCCGTAACTCAGAGCGAGTCAGTGGATGACACAGGAAGTGTGGGTGGGCCTGCTGAGTCACAGATCCCTCTAAAGCTTACAGCATGCCTGGAAATCCAGGTGCTCAGTGTTTGTTTGAAAACGGAAGAATCACACCGACGGGGACTAATAGCCTGATTCATCTGCTTTTCATCTGAATCATTACATAACCTTTTTTAGGTTATTAATATCCACGTCAGAGTTTGTTTATATTTTGGTTTCTCTTTGTGGGACGTGGAGAACCAAATGCTTCACACCCAGTCCTGAGATCCAGGTCAGCCCTGAGGTTCCCTCATCAGACCAACATCTGGAATAAAGACCTAAGTCCAGAAGAAAAAATACAGTTTGGTGGAAATATTTTCTATGTGAGACTTAAACTCATCTCCACAATCTCTTATTCACACCTGCAGTGACAAACAGGTCGTGTTTTTCTCTGTAAGGAAACATTCTTGTTTTCTTGTCAAAAATCTTTGAATTCTGTCCAGTGGGAATAGTTTCCTTTCCAGTAGTGTGGCCCTGATACCCGATACCTGGCTGTGCAGTATCGGCTAATACCGATACTGATGCCATCAGTTTGAAATTGATGTGTGTATATATATGAAGAACTGCAAACTACTTGGATGTAAAATAATTGCCATCATGGCTTTGTCAAGCTGCTGCCTACCTTTGGGAAGCAAGAAAAAGACTAATACAAAGTGAATCCAGTAGAACCTTTTATTGCCTACCTGGAATGGGTGACAATAGTTAAATAAACTTTTGGCTCTCAAAATGGTATCGGTACCCTGTCCGTTGGTACTCGCCGATACCAGTACCGCCATTTTAGGGCAGGATCAGGGCCCTGCCCAATACCGGTATCGGTGCAACACTACTTTCCAGTTCTAATTATTTATGAGATTTTTTTTGACCATTATTCATTTGTTTATCTTGTTACAACCCCCTGTTGGTCTAGGATGCGCAAAATCGAGCGGACTGAAAACTAGGGTCGGAGATTTTTTTTTTATGGAAGGCACACAGCTTCACTGCAGGAGATAATTTTGTCTTCTTTTTTTGTTTAATTTTGTATTTGTTGTGTTAAAAAGAATCCCGTATCCCGTAACAGATGGAGCGGCCTGCAGACACACTTCCCGTGTGTCTACAGGGGTAGTGTTTTTCGGTCGGTCTGCGCCTGAACAGCGGCACTGGGGGGGAAAGCTGCTGGTGGAAACAGTTTATGTGTTGGATTTTGTTATGGGCTGCATCTTCACCTCTAGGTCCAAATAAGAAACCAAAAAAAAAAAAAAAATCACCTTTTAAATTATCCTTGAAGAACTGAGTCTGGTTGATGGTGGATTGATTCGTCCAATCACCTGGCCTTAATTTGCAGTTCATTTCAATACTTACTCTAATACTTTTTTATTTAGAAATTCATTTACCAAAAATACCTCACTGCATTATTAGATTACTAAAATAATCAACTTGTGGAGCCCTAAACTAAAGCATTGGTAAACAAGGGTCAGTTGTTTCCATGGAGACATTGCTGACCAATTAGAATGCGCTGATTTCCTAGAGTAGATTTCAAAGGTGCTGCTCACCTCTCAGGTATGAATTGATCTCCAGATATGGGAAGGAAAATCCCTTTTCATGAGGAAATTTACTATTTAGTATAAACAATTTGATTGACACCACAAATTGTTTGAGTTATGGCTATGATCATTACGACTAAATATCATTTTGCAACGTGATTAATTGCCTTTTTTTAATATAAAAAATGAATAATTGGGTAGCAAAGGGTGGTTGACAAGGTTTTTTTTCCCCTTATGAACTAAACAAGTCACAGTCCTGGAAGGAGCATATTAGGAAGGATGTCTTTCATTTTGGATGCAGAATGTATTTGTCTTTTGGACAGTTTTGGTATTACCCTAGTGGCCGTTAGCTGTAAAGGTCCATAGATAAGCCGCATTGTTATATAAGCCGCAGAGAAAAAGTCACGGCTAGTCCGAAAATTACGGTAGACTACCCGTTAGAAACCATGCCGAGATCGGTCCGAGCACGGTAACCGAGATAACTGTTGAGTTTAAATGGTTCACGCAAAACTGAACCAGACATAACCGACCCGCGCTACCATGGTACTAGTTCATTAGTTGGTCTTGGCGCGGTTCAGTTCTGGCTCAGTTCTCAGATAACAAAGAGCACATGAGCAGACTACTTCATCTCGTTACAGTCAGCCTCCGTAATCATGAAATTTCAGACATTACTAAAAATACTAGCTTCCCTACCGTTTCACATGATTTTCAGTGATGATTCTGCTTAGCAGTGTGATGAACCTCAACGTCTGTCGTTGTTTCCTGCGTCTGTAAGCCATGATTAGACTATAGTTTGTTGTTTTTACTTCCCAAAAGCCGAGTCTGTTAAGAAAATTCGCCAAATGCTGCCAACTTTGCCTGACTTTGCAAGCTATGAAATATCACAATTATGACCAAACTTCCTGAATGTTACGGGTGCCGCCATGTTGATTTGCTCGATTCCTTCTAGAGAGCAGAAGTACCTTAGATCGTCACTAGGAGGCGAGGAACCACGCTAGCCAAGTTCGGACTGCATCAGTCCAAACTCGGTGCGCATCACTTTTCAGAGGGTAGGGTAAATGGGCTAATCGTGTGGCGCCCGGAGAGCAGTGTGGGGTTAAGGGTCTTGCTCAAAGACTCAGAACGGAGGCTGGGGGGATTCAACCGAGTACTTGCAACCTTCTCAGAGCACAAGCGCACAGCACCAACACTTCCCAGAGATTTAAGAGTCTGCATTAAAAGTCTGCTAAGTAATTATTGCTGTGATTATTTCAACAATCAATTATTTCAACAATCAATTACTCCAAATGTACTTGTTAGAACAATCAATCAGAAACTCCCTTAAAATGAAAAATATTCAGCCTTTATCTGTTTTCAGGCCTCAGCATTGATGTTAATGTTAAACTTTGTCAGAGTTGAGAGTGAACCCCCCTTTTGTTGAACCGTTGCTTAATAATCTTTTTGATGATGGATTATTTCTGTCTCACTGTGGACTTTTTGGAAGTAGGTGAAGTTTCTCAATCAAATGCAAAAAAAAGTCCAGTAAATGTCCAAACTTTAGAAAGTATCCAAGTAGTTCAGAGAGCTGCTGTTCCTGTTGAGGCCCAGTAGTTGCTTGGTTATGTAACTCACAGCAGGGATGTTGGTGTAAAGTAACAGGAGCACCGCGGTGGTGTTCAGGCTCCTGCAGGGTCCACTTCCAGGTACGGCAGCTCCAGTTTGGCCAGATTCCAGCGCTAGTTAAGAGGCTCTGTGGTTTTTTTACAAGAACATCTTGAATGTAAAACGGCAAACACGGCAGGCTTGTTGTTGCTTCATCCATTTAACGCAGACAAATAGAAATTAACTGAGAGAGGGCTGCAAGCATCTAATGAATACTTTTAGTACCAAAGCATTTATTTTTCAGCAGGGGACAAGCATTCTTTGCTGAAGACAAACAGATCCCAGCATGTTTTCTACAGTCAGATGTTTAAATATTAGGATCCAAACCTGTCCCGTTCGCTCCGCTTTTCACCACTGACTGCTGTTTTTGTCCTTATCGTGTCCTCTCCAGGGCGATGTTCATGAGCGGCCTCAGCGAGAGCAAGCAGACACACGTCCACCTGAGGAACGTGGACCCCGCCACTCTGAAGATCATCATCGCCTACGCCTACACAGGCCACCTGGCCATCAGCGACAGCACGGTGGAGCCGCTCTACGAGACCGCCTGCTTCTTACAGGTCAGCGCAACGGTTCCCTGTAGGAGGAAACGCCAGATCCACTCAGTTTTATCAGAATTTCCTTTTTGCTTTGCTGAAATATTCAGAGATACGCTAACCGCCTTGGTTCACTGAGGATGGACCAGCACGCCATGGAAAG